GCACGAACTTTCCAGACAATTCGATATATTTTAAAAGTAAAATTTTGTTTAAATAATAAAATGTTTTGTTTTATCATTTATCATCTATTTCGCAGAGATTCGATCAACCTGGCCGTATTGTCGTTGAAAGAAAGTGGAGAATTAACCAAATTAATGAATCGATGGTGGTACGATAGAACGGAATGCAGGCATGGTGATAAACAGGACCCATCTAGGAACGAATTATCATTGAGTAACGTTGCTGGAATCTTTTACATTCTGATAGGTGGACTTCTACTTGCATTGGCAGTTGCCCTATTAGAATTTTGTTACAAATCACACACTGAAGCAACCAGAGCTAAGGTATTCTCGTAACATTTCATTTCAAAAATAAAACCATATAATCAAAATTATTATTACATTATTAATATAATAAAATAATTAGTATACAATATAATATTATTTATAAAATTATGTGAAATTGATTGAACCTATTTTTTTTACTTCCTTTTTATTTTTTTAGATACCACTATCGGATGCAATGAAAGCAAAAGCAAGGTTGACGATTGGTGGTGGTCGAGATTTCGACAATGGCCGGGTGAGTCGGTGTCATAGCTCGTTCAACACACATACACGCATACCAAAACAATAATACATACACACACATACACATGATCGGTAGAAATCGTCTCTTTTAAAAAGAAGGAAGAAAGAAACTCTTGATCGAACTAACAAACACAAATAAATATTTCATTGAAAATCAATTAGATAATTATTACAGATGAAGCAGTTTCTTTCATCTTTTTATTCAAAACACTTCAAAGTCTTATAAAAAAGGATGGAACCTTGACAGAAGTGCTAGTATTTATATATGTATAGTTAAAACTTTCTATATTATCTCTAATTAATATTTATTTAATTAATAATAATCGTTATATCATATATATTCAGTTTAAAAATCACTAAATGTTGTTTATAATTAAGATATTAATTCTTTTTTAATAGAACAAAATTAGATTTGGGAAAAGTATACTTTTTATTAATGTTTTATACTAATGAATTTTTCTCAATAAAATAATAGTGAACTTTTCCTGAATTCATTTCAATGAAATTTTAAACATTGTAAAATTTTAATCAGTGATCCTTGACTGAACATAAAAAATGATATATTTTCATAGAAAAAAAAAATATATATATAAATATAAGATCTAACCTATACATATAAAAATACAAGTTAGATACACACATAGAGTACGCTTGGCATGCAGTTAGCAGCGTATAAACGTTAACACACACTCGTTTGGTCGGACCCCAACGAGTATATCAGTTCTATATATATTTTGTTGGTGTCTCAATGGACACCTTGATGATGGTCAGTTCGACGAAAATGTACAACGTCGAAATCAATGATGATGATGATGATGATGATGATGATGATGATGATGGAACGAGAAGACCCTTATAAACTATTGCATACTGTATATATGAATATATAAATATATATACATATATATACACTTACATATATATATATATTTCACTACTACATTACTATTATTATTATTATTATTATTATTATTACTAGCGTACGTGTATACATTATGCATAAATAGATTTTTTCGGTGCGTGCGATGTGCGGCTGGCTGGATGTGTTGCGCTCATATAATTTTTTTTTTATATATTTTTTTTTTTTTATATTATTAATTTATTTATTTATCTGTCTCTTCTCTCATCCGACGATTGCAGAGGAGGCGTATTATTAATTATTGCTCGTTTGCGCATTTCGTTCTACTTTTGTTTTTGTCTCTAGTGGTACGGACTCCAGAGTTAGACGGAGGATGCATGCGCCTTTCCCGGGACCATATGTGAGTACTTTAGCCCGTTCATTTTTATCCCTTTTCTGTCTCTCTCTCTCTCTCTCTTTCTCTTTCTCTTTCTCTTTCTATTTCTCTTTCTCTCTCTTTGTCTTCTCTATCTTATCTTTCTATCTTATCTGTCTATTTTTTTTTTTTGTTAATTTTCTTCTCATTTTGTTTCTACCAAATCAGTCGAATAAATGCGTGCGATTTTTTTCTATATCAATAACAACACACCATAAGCAAAAGATCGCACCAATTTTATCGGCAGAATTTTAATATTAATTTCTTTATCTCTGTCTATTCGTACAAAGTTTCTTTTTTTTTTTTTTATTCTTCTTTTTCTTATTATTATTATTATTTTAGAGCTTTAAATGTTCACACATCACTTACGAACTATCGTTTAACCCAACTCAATGTGCTAATTAGTTTTTTACATGAATACAAATTATTTGTTGATTTTTGATAAAAAATATTTTGATTGATAATGATTTTGGAAATTTTGCTTTCTTTTTCTCTTTCTCTCTATTTCTCTTTTTCATTTTTTTTTTCTGACCATTTCATATGATCCTAAAACCACCCCCTACTGTTCCTTTGTACTTCTAGTGTGTATATAAATATACATATATATATATATATATATACCGATGTGACACGATTTGAGATACGATGATTTATTATTTTTTCAAAGCTTTAATAATCATATCATATTATCCTGATTTTAAATCTTTCCTCTTAGACGAAGATCGAGAAGTTGAGCAGCTTATTTGCGCATAATTCGCATGGCTTCAAAAGCAAGCTCTTTAGCGAGTCAACAAGTGGAAAACATTATTATGACGCATCGCATGTCGCTTTTAAAAAACAATTTTGTAAGCTTCGTAGATGAAAATGAAAAAGGAAAGGAGACAAAAAAAAATAAAAAAAAGAACAAAATATATTAGAATATAAAAAGACAAATTATTAAAAGAGAAAGAAAAGATATCACGAAACTAGTTTGTGAATTCATTTACATGACTAATTGATTTCAAGGTTTTTCGACGTCCGAACGAATAATATAATGATATTTATTTAAATTTATAATGAAAATAATTAAAATTTAAAACAAACAACGTCCGTGGGAAGTAAAATAATTCAATAGCAAAATTTCACGAATCAAATTAGTGACATAAATCTTATTCAATTTTTCTTATAAATATAATTTCCTATAAATATAATATAATTTAAATTTCTTATATAAATTATATTTAAATTTATTAAATTATATATATATTATTAAATTATATAATATTATATTATATGAAAAAATTTTATTATATAAATTACATAATATAATAATTAAATTATGTAAAATTATATAAATATATTTCTTATAAATATAATATAATTTGTAATATAATTTATTTCTAATATAATTTGTATTTCTTATAAATTATATTTAAATTTATAAAATTATATAAATATATTATATAATTATAATTTACATTTCTTACAAATTATACATAAAACAAAATTACTTTCCACAGACGATTGCAATAAAATATGTTAACGAATTAAAAAAAAAAAAAGAAAGAAAAAATATTTTAAAAATAAATTAGAGGAAAGAATGGTATTAACGAATAAATTTTCAGTACTACGCCCCAGCAAACGCGATTGGGACTACCGAGGGCGACCAGGTGCACAGCAATACCCATACTCAGGTGTAAGCTACTCGGACAGCTCGGCAGGTGAGTCGCCAGCTATTTCATTGCCGACACCACCACCACCACCATTGATGGCACCACCACCACCGCCACCTAGAAGACCACCTAGAAGGAGTGTAACCTTCGCGGATTCACCACCTAAGAGTCCTAAGAAGGTTTTTTCAAGGTTCCCACGAAGGACGTCTAGCGTCGCGACGTTAGACGTCGCGGTACCTTGGACTCCTGTCTCACCTAGGCATTGGACAATGCGAGACGGCAAACCCGAGTACGTCACCTGAATAATTTAACAACAAAATTTAATCAAATCAAATAAACAATATATATGCTAGCACCTAATGGTTAAACAACTAAATATATCGAATTTCCGAACGATGATTTAATTTTTTTGTTTATTATTAAATATGTCACTCTTCGTATATAACATTTTTATAATATTAACAAACGAATATTCATTTTTATCCCATAAAGCAGAGTTTTTGTTTTCTATTCGTTTATATCATCACGCTTTAAATCACTAACAAGTATTTTATTTGTTATAATTAATTAAATAAAGTCAAATTGTTTCTTAATACAATTAATTAAATTGTTAACCATGTAACAAAACTTTTTTTTTAATCACCAATTTAAATTATTTATTTATTAATGTGTGAAATCACTTACACACAATATTCGTAATATTTCTTTTTATCGACGTCTAATCGAATCAAATTGATTCCTAATATAATTAATTAAATTTCTAACTATGTAAGAGTTATTTTCCCAATCACGAATTTAAATTATTCATGTATTGATGTGTGAAATCACTTACAAATATTCCATATATAATTAAATAAATTTCTAACTATGTAAGAGTTATTTTCTCAATCATTAATTCAAATGATTCATTTAACAATGTGTGAAATTACCCACACACACACACACACATTTATTTTAATCATACTATTATTTTTCTATTTAACGTTAAATCGAATCAAATTGATTTTTAAATATAATGAAATACATTTATGATAATGTAATAAATATTATTATAACAAAAGACAATGCTTTATGGGAATTTATGCATTAACGTAACACTGCCAAAAATTTTCTAACGATTTACTTAAGTACGCGGCATGTGTTCTAAATCATAAAATTAATAACATTAATTACGGGGCGACATAAAATTAAATCCAAGTTCGGAAATGACGATATATTTCACTCTCGTATCTTCGGACGAGAACGCGTTTGTAAATTGTAAATAATTGTATGAGAATCAAATAGAAGAATCAAAAAAAAAAAAAAAATAAGAACAAAAGAAATAAGAAAGGAAGAAAGAATGACAAAAAAAAAAAGGAAAGAAAGAACTCGAACAAAAAAGAAGAAAAAGAAAATTAATCGTTCAATTCCATAGTAAAACGATGGTCCTGGGATGGGTGCATGTGCAAACCAGTAATAAAATAATAAAAAATAATAATTACTCGTCACA